CCTTTTCTTGTGAGGAATCCTATTCAGAATAAGGGAATTTCCCTCTAAAAAAGGGAAAAGTTGACAGCTATGATTTCATAGCATATTGGACTTTTATTCTTTGGCAAATGGAAAACACAGCAACAGCTTACAAATAGCCAGCAGGTGGCTCCATATTACACATCCCAATTTCAGTGTTCCTTTTCTCACTCATATTAACAGCAATTTAGACACTAGTTCTTCGGCAAATCTGTTAGCGATCCTTTTAATAAGAAGCAAATAATAACAACAAAGATGGATCGAACAGAGTAAAGTAGAACTGTCAACTTTGTAGCTCAACAATATCCCTTATTCTTCTAGCATGTTCTGTGTGTAAAGCACATATATTCTCACAAAAAGTAAAAATTTGCTAGTGCTGCTACACTCCATTTTGTATATTGTCAATGTTCATGTCAAAAGCTGCCTTGAGAAAAACTTTATTAACTTACAAAGAAATAACACTTAAAGGAATACTGGCTTGAATTATAGTTCCAGGGAATGTAATTCTGCTTGCAGGAATCTCATGCTTGAGGAAGGGTCCACAGCACTCCTTTAAAATCTGCAAATCTGCTCCAGGGAGTTGGTGTACCTTCTGGAACTCTGTGGGAAGTGGAATGGAATTGGGATGGGGGGGGCTCACTCTGTTCCTTTAGCACAAGCTCTCGGTGAGCAATGGAACTTTGGATCCAAATTTTTTTAGGGTTCAAGCTTAATGGAAACAAACAAGTAAGACGGAGAAATATAAATTCCCAGCAAAGAGCCCCCAAGTTCATGGTACACTCAAGAAGAATCAGAGAGTTTATTAGGAATGTGACACCCCCAGCAATTTCAGGGATGTTCAAGATTGACACAATTTATACCTTTTCAGACTCAGAATTGTTTTTCCATAATAGCAAATTTGGCTGCATCAATCAGGGATGCTCAAAATTCTTTCAGTTATATCAAACATTTAAAATTTTGCCACCCTAGTGCTGAATCTTCATCTACACTCCACAAATAGTTCCAGCAGTAGAGTAGTAGACTCTTTGTTTTTTTCAGTTTGGTCCACAAAATACCTTCCGCAAAATTATTTTTTTTCATTACAGAAGCATTTATTTCATAACAGAAAAACGAATCTGAAATAAATATATGGCTAAACAAAACTATAAAGAACAAGTTAGACTCCCACTAAGTTCTGTGAAATACACACCCTTACCGTATATTAGCTAAAAAGAGCCAATGAATTTTAATGTTCCTTTAAAGTCTGTAGTTAATCAATTACTCTGCCCAAGCAGACACTAATTCTGAAAACTCTGCTACTGAAATCTACATTCCTCTTCTGTAACAAGTGCCTTCAGCGGGTGCTCTCTTGGCAACAGTTAAGAGAAGATGACTTTAATGGAGCCTTAGTGATGTGTGTGCTTATTCAGTTTTATTTAACACATTGGCACAAATCCACTTACCACAAACACTTAAAACAGGCAACGAGGGATAGCTGAAAATAATGCAGATGGACAGTTAAGCCATTATGATCTTAAATGCCTTAATGATACCCAAGGGGGATGAAGGCTTCTCTCCCCCTTTCAGGATACTATACTACTATTTTCAGTTGTAGCACCAAAATATAGCCTCCCAATTGCACCCAACTATAGCCTCCCAATAGAGGTTTGCTTAGCACCTTTTCCCGACTGTTTCTAGACATATTTAATAATTTAAACAGGCTGTGTGAAATCCAGAGCTGCTGTTTCACTTGCATAATGGCTTGGAATCAACAGAGTTAGAGAACAGTTAGAGAAAGAGAGATGCTCTTTGACAATTCCTCTTCTTGCTGCAGTTACCTATGACCCCTAGAATCTGTTCTAGGGGGTTGATGGACCCTCCAGAACAGCATGGAATTTGGTGCAGGGTGCCTGCAGGGCAAAAGGGACAGAGTGGCAACTGATACAGGTCCATGGGGCAGAAGCAGGAGGGCCAGATAAATCACTGCAGTACCATGGACAGATCATGGGGTGTAAGGAGCAGAGTTGTCACTCCAAATGATGAAGTATATTCTTCCAAACCCTGGCTGCCATTCCCAGGCTCCACCCAAGGCTTAAAGAATGGATATCCTTAGATGGACAGACCTTGGACCTGAAGTCTAGTCATATGGCTTCTTTCCTGTACTTCCCTCCTGGTGCATTTTCTGCGCCATTCCTAATACAGCTGCTGAGCAGGTGTTTGTTATACTGGGACTTGATTCCTCATGGATTTTGTGCTAAGGAGTTGTTTTTTCTAGGGTCCTGTTTCACAGGCAGCTACAAGGCTGTCAGTCTCAGGCCCAAGAACAGGAAGTGTGTTTCACTGCTCTGCTGGGGATGCAAGGAAGACAGATGTATGGACCTGTTTCCCTCTGCTGCTCAGAACTGAGGCCAAGACAGAGAGTCTTGTCTTCCCTCATCTACTGTCTGCCCAACAGCCTGATTTGGATCACATCTTCTTTCTGTAGTGCATTGAACTCAACCACTAGCCTATTTTGACCACACCTTTTGTCTCTGATGCTGCTAAAAAAGGTAAAGGAACCCCTGACCATTAGGTCCAGTCGTGACTGACTCCCGGGTTGCAGCGCTCATCTCGCTTTATTGGTACAGCTTCCAGGTCATGTGGCCAGCATGACTAAGCTACTTCTGGAGAACCAGAGCAGCGCACGGAAATGCTGTTTACCTTCCCGCTGGAGCGGTACCTATTTATCTACTTGCACTTTGACGTGCTTTTGAACTGCTAGGTTGGCAGGAGCTGGGACTAAGCAACGGGAGCTCATCCTGTCGTGGGGATTCGAACCACTGACCTTCTGATCGGCAAGTCCTAGGCTCTGTGGTTTAACCCACAGTGCCACCCACGTCCCTTGATGCTGATAGGCTATAATAAAAGGTGGTATATCAATACATTCCATAGGCAAATGTGTCTATACATCTATTTAACAATGCTGCAGTGTATTCTGAAATTGTTTGGAAAGTAAGCAGAATTCTATTAGCTCTGTTGCGATCAAATCAAAATCCATCAAACAATGTCTGGAAAAGAAAGTACTAATTAACTCACAGACATTCATCAGTTTAGCAGAGACAGACCAAGCACCCAAAATAAGGAAAAGGAACAATGACAACTCACTGTACACATTTCTTGTCTCATGCTGTCATCTTTAGAAAATTAATTGCTTGTTCTGGCCTCAGGCCTTAAGTTGCTCTCCCAAAAATCAAAGAAAACTTGGACATGGAAAATCAGGCCGCACCAACAGGGAACTTTCCTTCTGCCAGATATAACAAGAATAAATACTGAAGCTGCCTCACATTCCAAAAATGAAATAATATTTTCATTTTGACTGATAACACAACACCCCAAAGCCTGACAGCTCACATAGCACACAGTCTTGGGGGGCAAGTTTTGTAGTGTTGTGGCACATCTATGTCTGGGAAACAACTTATTCATACAATTTAGACACCCTGAAGCTAATTTACCCACTAGCAGAATGTTGTAAATCAGGGCAGTCTATCAACTGTGTACTTTCTTGACTATTAGCAAGACCGAACTTTTAAATTCATTTCTTTTCCCCTGCCCCCCCCCATCAACTATAGCTATCCTATTACATTAGAATAATCTCTGTTGGAACCAGTTACCAACATGGGGAAATGTCTGGAATTCTAACTTTATACAAGGTCTGGAATAGCATATTAACCACTGTGGATATTTATTTTCCAAAACACTAGTATGAATTTATGTGCTTCATGCTATTAATTTGTGATTAGTTTCTCAAAATAATCAGCTACTGGTACTGTATCACGTTGTTGAATTTAAAACGGATTTTGATAAATAATTGCTAATTCATTCTCTGAATTTCCATGTGAGCCTACTTCCTCAAAAGACAGTATTGCATTATGAGTAGACCAACCTATGACTCTTTATTGCATCACTATCATCATCATCATCATCATCATCACATTTGTTAGATGTCTGCTACTATAAAAGCATAGCATACAACAAAACAAGTGAACAAAGATTAAACACAAGCAGAACTAAAACAACAACAAAATAATCCCACCTCCTCCCCGCTCCAGCCACTAGATTTTTTACAAATCATCTAAATAATTCATGGAAGCACAATAGTCTTGTCAGGTCACCATACTATTATATGATGACTAAAGTCAGCATATTAAAAAACAAGTGCCAATCTACTCTACATGCATCCCCTTTCAATCATACTTCATTATAAGCCTAATATTTTTGGCTCTTTCCTAACACAGCTGGACGAGCTCACAAGTTTAATTTAAACATGATACCTCTAACTGAATTGGACAGTAGATTTGTCCAGGTTTTAGAGCCTTGTCATGTAACACCTTCTATTTTTCACTTCTGAACTTGGACATCCAAACCCGGCAAAGAACATATAAAACCTGTTCCTAGTATTTTAAAGACTAATCGATCCAACAAAAATATCAATATAGTGTGCTCTAATTTCATTACTAGCCCTAGACTTTGACCAAGCAAACCAAATTATGCAAGCTAAGTGTTATTTTTGCTTACAGAGATTAACAGTTCTGCATGAATCAGGAAATTGATATATTCACAGTACCTACCTAATGTATAGATCCATGATGGCAGGAATAACTCTAAACAGTGCTAACTGATGCTCACTGGGATTGGTAAGGTGGAAGGTATGGTGACAAACAGGAGGTGGAACCAAAGTCAATGACAGGAGAAGCCAACTACTAATTCCACTGTCAGAAGTGGGATTCATGTTTCCTATAAGAGAGGGCCTATAAGAGAGTCAAAACGGAGGGAAGAATAGTGATGTTCCTTGAGTAGCTTGAAAGAGTCAAGTGGTGACAAATCAAGCAGCATAGCTGCCGGCAGAGGGGTTGAGAAGCTTCCGTGGAGAGGCTAGTGTGACTCCTTGTGAGGTAAGGGCCCTGCCAGATGAGATGCTACAATGAGTTGAAAGTGACCCAGGAGCCCAGCTGCAAGGTACTCAGATGGAAGGGGTGGTTGAAGAGATTCAGAGTGTGGATGAGCAGCTGAGGGGCTGGGACTGCGAAGAGATGCAATCGGTAGCTGAAGACAAGGGGGAAGACAATGCCTTGGAGAAGGATGAGCTTGCTGGAGCTGAGGAGATGCTGCTAATGGAATTCACCACTCCCTTGGTGCCTGTTATGGAAAGGGGAGTGGAGGAGGAAAAGCCAGCAAAGGAGGAGAAAAGTGCCTCCATGGAGGACAAACTGCAGGATGGAGGTGAAAAGCTGCTGCAAATAAATCTCTTCACGCCATGTGTGCCAATGGTGCAGGAGGAGATGCAATAAATGTGTGCATAAGAAGGAATTGGTGCCTGCGGAGGTGCCAGAAGAAGGGGTGCAGCAGGAGGAACTGGATTAATAGTGCTTTAAAAGCAGCCCTCTCAATGCTGCAATGGGAAACCTGGAAAAATGTGACAGGGCATGTTCAAAGGTTGCATGCAAGACCTTGAGTGTCTTCCAGGTATGCTACTGTCTAGTGTTTTTTGCTACTATTATTTCATTAAGGTTAATTGTTTATTTTTTACATCTTATTCCAGGAGTAGTATATAACATTTAATGCAAGGCTTTGAAATCATGAATGAATCAGAACATAATCAAGAAAACTTCTTTTTAAAAAAAGTCTTTTGTCTTTTGGCTCTGATTCCTTAAGTCATGTCAGAATTGTGTTTTAATGTTTCTCCCTGCAGCTATAGGGACTATAAAGTCAAATCTTAGTTTCAAATAACTAACTTAAGTAAATAATTTTTTAACGAATCAAAATGTAATGATTTACAATTACACCTGAGCAATGGTTCTCTCATATGGTTTAGATCCACTATGCTAAACAAAAAACAAAGAAACTGCAGTCCTACTTAGTAAAGAATACTTTATTGTAACGCTATTAGATTCAGAAATAATATTTGCCATGTCTATTTCTAAATACAGAAAACAAAGAAAAAATAAAACTTATTTCACTGTCCCATTTCTCGGCATGTTTTGACAAAATGATTGACCACTAGCTCTACATATCTACAAGATGCATTTCTGAAGCTAATTTTAAGAGTGGATATACCAGAACTGCTGTATTTCATTCAGCTTTGGAGAACATGACAAACGAACCAAACTTTAGCTTTCAATTCTTTTAGAACCTCACCTTACCTCAATGGAATTAATCTATCCTGGAAAGGTGCTTAGCCTAAATAAACTCATCAACATCTAATTAGCTTCCAGATGGGAATTCCTCTCCACCCACCAAGTCTTGGCTGAGAACATACAGAAGAAGCCTCCAGCAATCTTGGTGCTTTTCCCAGACATCTCCAAAAGTCAGCAGTGAGATCAGGAAGATACATCGCAAAGCATCAAGGAACCTGCCTTAGCCAATTGCATAAGGACACTGACTGCCCCATTTTGAGGTTAATCTAGTCAGTTTATGAACTTCACCAGCTGGCATCTGACAAATTTCTGAAAATACCTGAATATTAGTGAGCACTATAAGTAAATTATTATCATGCCATGAAAGAACACTTTATAGAGACAGCAATAAAAACTCTCATCTCTAAACTGTATTGTTAGTTCATCAGCATAGGATAATAAATACAGTATTTCTAAAAAGACTTCTTTCAGGTGTTTTGTTTCCAGTCTTTAAATATAGAGAGGAAAACAGCAGCAGAAAGAGGCACATTAACAGCACAATCCTGTCTCACCTTGAACACAGAAAAAGAAGAGCAGCCTATACATATAATTAAAAGGCTAGAATCACAAAAGTCTCCTTGTGCATATACAGTACAGTACAGTACAAGAGCTCTTACTTCTATGGGATGTCGCTTTAAATTATAATTGTGTTTGTTTTTTAATGTATGCTTTAATGTTTGTTTATATACAGTGGTACCTCGGGTTACAAACGCTTCAGGTTACAAACGCTTCAGGTTACAAACGCTTCAGGTTACAGACTCCCTAACCTGGAAGTAGTACCTCGGGTTAAGAACTTTACTTCAGGATGAGAACAGAAATCGTGCAGCGGTGGCGTGGCAGCAGGCCCCATTAGCTAAAGTAGTATCTCAGGTTAAGAACAGTTTCAGGTTAAGAACGGACCTCCAGAACGAATTAAGATCTTAACCAGAGGTACCACTGTAGTACTTAAATACCATTATGGTTAACCACCTTGCAGTGTGAAAACGTGTTTATCAATTCATATTAATAAACAATGAAGCCTTTCATTTTGATGGCACAATTGCCAGCGACCCAGCAACAGCTGTATGTATGGTGCAAGGCTAAAAATGGGTGGATTATGGAAAGATTAACCAGGATCCTATTCACCATCTCAAGATCAAAACAAAAAGATGATTTACCAGGTCCCAACCCTGAAAAAGAAGCAATAATCTTCAAAAACGCAACCACAGTGATACCTCTGGATACGCACATGGATGCGCAAAAGTGCTCTACACGACGAGCGCATGTGCAGAAGCAGCACCTCCGGTTGCGAATTCCTCGGGATCTGACCAGAGCTCTGGAATGGATCCCGTGCACAGCCAGAGGTACCACTGTAGATGTTACTCAAGTGGAAGGCTAAGTTGCTACAGCTTCCTGCAGTCACATTCACTACCACAGGTATTATAGTCACCCACTGAAGACAGCTTTAAAAAGCAGATTGGACAAATTCATGAAATATAAGGTTATAAGTGGCTAATAGTCATGATGGCTATATTACTTTCAGTATCAGTGGCAACATGCATCTGAGTATTAGTGGCTGAGGAACATCAATACAAAAGTATTATTGTGATCATGTCTTGCTTACGGGCTTCCCAAAATGATCTGGTTCACCATTGTGAGAACATAATGCTGGATTAGATAGGCCTTTGGTATGATCCAGCAGGGTTCTAATTACATTCTTATCTACCTTCCATCCTCTCAGGGCAATCAAACGGGACTACATATTAGTTAGCCTTACTGCAGGTGGACGAGGGAGTGAAATAATAGGAATGGGGGAAGAATGGGCAGGAGAAGCCAACCTCCAGTTTTAATGATTCCTTTAACATAAATACTCTTTCTCCAGGTTGGAGTCTGGTAACCCTAAACATAAGACAGTTAAGTAAAGCTACACCATTGTAACTATCAAACAGCTCTAGCTACAAACCAGAGAACACTCATGTTCTCAGAAGGCATCTATCCAGTGCTCCAGAAATGACAAAGAGCTCAACACGGCATAATTCAGAAGGCAAGAGGACAGTGGCAGTACTGTCAACAACCGTGAATGCTGAATCACCAGGTGTGTCCCAGTGTGTCACTGCTACCACAAACTCACTAAAACTGTTAATTAGCCATAATGGTTAAACTTGATTTATGTACAATTAAAGCCAAACTATGCACAAAATAGCAGTAGACACATAGAGGGAAATAATGTCATGTGTAAAACACTGCACTCCTGCTGTGCAAACATTTTCAAGCAGAGCAACCCTAAGCATGTTTATTCAGTCCCACTGAGTTCAGTGAGATTTACTTCCCAATAAGTACGCATTTATAGGCTTGCAGCCTTAGCAATAGACCTAAAGTAAATATCTGTGAGACGAACTTTTGAAAACCTAAATTGCTTTTGTCCTATTGTAAGGTTGAGATAGAGGGTCTCAAATATAACAGAGATTGAACAGCAGAGATAGAAAGTAAGGCCAGATTCTTATTTTCTTTAATTCACATAGGCAGCAAATCTGAACATAGTTACTGGGAATTGAGTCCCATGGAACTCAGTGGGACTTATTTCTAAAGCATACATGCATAAGACGGTTCTGTGAGGATGCATGCAATAATTTAAATGCTCCAGTTTCTAATCATTTAGACACTTCCCTGCTCCAACATGATGCAGCCTATATTGCATTTACTCTGTCTTGCTTTGCCATGGCAATAGCTTCCTTTTAGTATTTTTCCATTTCTGACTCCACATTTCAACTTCTATCAGTGCTGAAGATCTCACAAAATCCACAGTAGTGAAATAGGATCAATGCTATTCACTACTTGCAACAATTTTCCAGAATCACAGGTGCTCCGCTAATAATGAATAGCAGGGAAACAAACAAACAAACTTATTTCAAGCAGGAAACAGATAATTATCTTTCTCTTAAAAGAAAACAAGATACCATGTACAGCCCATTTTGTGTGGTCAGAACAGGAGAAGCTCACTGCAAAAGCTTCATGTCTCATTACACTTGAAGCTGCTCGCTGAGACTAGAGGGAAAGGTTCGCTTTGGGCACCACAGGGGCTGGTTTCTGCAATCTTCCATCAAAATGAAAATGTAAACATGAGAGAAAGCCTGTAAGCATTCACCTCTGAGAGGCAACAGAGGAATGAAAAGGAGCTCACAGGCCAGGAGCAAAAGAACTAAACACATATGAAGCAGAATTTCATCATGCTTCTCCCGTGCAGTCATGCTGCACAGTGCTTCCCATCAAAATGGGCTGCAATTTCAAACTTCCACCAGAACTAATTTTAGTGCCAAGGCTTATTTGCAGTGCTGTGATGGCATGTTAGTAGTTGCACAGCTCATTGTTTTCCTGTACAAGAATTCAGACAAATTCAAGAATAAGTAGACACCAGGTCACCCTGTAAAAATAATCTGCCATTTCTAGCTAGAAGTACTTTAATTTTGAAGTGTTTACAGCACATGGTGATTTGAAGAGTGGTCAAGGAGTCTTCCCTGAGTTTTCCTGCATTGCAGAGACACAAGGTCTGGCTCACTGTACTATGGTGATGTGCAAGAAGGGCTGTTCAATGGAAAAGGGCAACTGAAATTTTGCAGGTTTCAGACTGTAGAATGACTACCTATGCAGACACAATTTAGATGGGTGCAGATCTGGCAAGGAGTAATGTAGAGAATGAGGCTTGATAAAAAGGGCAGGCAAAGAAGACAGAAACTAGAAGTTAGTAGGATAAACTGGCTTTAATAATCCATGTTTTGATAACGTCCCATTTGATTTACTGCAGTGTATTTATAAGTTGGCTTTCCTTTGAAGACTGAATCCTTAGCTGGTGCAGAATGTAGTGATGAGGGCATTAAACTGGGTCTAAATGGTGTGAGTATATCATGCTTGTCTTTTTACAGCGACACAGACTTTCAGTTTGTTTCCAGGCCCAATTCAAAGTGCTGGTTTTGACCTGCAAAGCTCTGCACATTCTGGAACTCTAGTAATGAAAAGCAGATTCTTTCTATACATACATATCAATCCCCTGCAGTCACTGGCAGAGTACCTTCTTAGATAAGGGTATGCGGGTGGCGCTGTGGTCTAAACCACTGAGCCTCTTGGGCCTGCCGATCAGAAGGTTGGTGGTTCGAATCCGCACAACGGGGTGAGCTTCTGTTGCTCTGTCCCAGCTCCTACCAACCTAGCAGTTTGAAAGCACACCAGTGCAAGTAGATAAATAGGTACCGCTGTGGCTGGAAGGTAAACGGCGTTTCCATGCGCTTTGGTTTCCGTCATGGTGTTCCGTTGCACCTGACGCAGTTTAGTCATGCTGACCACATGACACGGAAAGCTGTCTGTGGACAAACGCCGGCTCCTATGCAAGGTATAGATCTACAGGAATACATTTTTACATATAAATTTATAGGAATTCATTCCAACTTGCAGGAAGGTTAGTCACACACAACACAGGTTCCTCTAAACTCAATTGTGCTAAGACAGGCATAGGCAACCTCGGCCCTCCAGATGTTTTGGGACTACAACTCCCATGACCCCTAGCTAACAGGACCAGTAGTCAGGGATGATGGGAATTGTAGTCCCAAAACATCTGGAGGGCCGAGGTTGCCTATGCCTATGCTAAGATATCCACAACACTAAAAGGACTTTAAGAAACCCAACCCTTACCCCCCTCCCACACTTTCCTATCATTAGCAAGTGGGGCAGAACAAATCTTGCTCATGTCTTCTTTAGTGGGTTGGTCAGTACGTGAAATTGAAAGAAGAATATACCAAGATAGTATTACTTCCCTTATATGTCAATCAATGCACTAATGTTCACTCGGTGACTAGAACACTGGAATGTAGAAGTAGTCTTGTTTCTTATCCAGGGGCGAAACTAGGCTTTATTTTACCCGGTTCAAAGACCTAGCTTCCCCCCCATGTGCATTTGCCTCAATGGTGCCCTTCTGGTGGCTTCATCCAGGGCGAAAAAAGCCTGGCTGGCGCCCCCCCCCCCGACACTGTCTTATCAAACATCTAGGGGAAATATTGCTTGAACATTTTCACTCATATCTCTTGAAGGACAAGTACTAAAGATTTACTCAACCAGAAGCTGGAAATACTGGTTGTCTAACATCACAAGCAGACACCAGGTCATAAGCATGCCTAGAATCCAAGCATGACTCCACAAGGCAACAAAATCATTGGCCTCAGTGTTGAGACATCCACGCTAATTTATATGAAAGACTAAAGAAACTGCAGTTTTTACATCAGTTGATCACACATACCATGGAGTAAATCCTACTGAGCACAGTGGGACTCTCTTCCAAGTAAACATGCATAGAATTGTACTGTTAGTAAAATGAAAGCAGCAGTAGCTGGAGATTCTGCTTTTTATAGATTTGTTTTGCAGAAAGACTGCAATATCTAACAAAGAACTTACTACCTGACCTTCTCTTGCTCATAAAAAAATCCTTACATCTGCAACACACTTGTACAGAAAATTGGAGGGGGGTGGGCTTCACTATCCAGTAAGAAGCAAAGCAGAATTTTGAGGCTTAAATACGATAGCAATTTAAAGATAAATCCCTTTTTCCATACACAAAGCCAAGTCAACGATGTTGATACAAACAGATCAATCAAGTCTCTTAATTATGTGTTTATTGTGTAAGACTGTTCAGTTTTGAAAGATGGCACTACAGCATTAATATGGGAGAGATGTTAATCACTGTCTCTGATTGTTTGTCTAATATGCGGCTTTGAACTCTCTCTCTCTCTCTCTCTCTCTCTCCCCCCCCATATATACAAGCATAAGCTGTTTCCCTGTTTCCCCTTTCCCCTGCACATTCCCAATAGTTGAGGGTTCTTTTCCTTCATACTGCATAGTCAAACCTCTAAAATCCATCAGCTATCTTCTATCCAAATATCAAGCTAATTACATTAGGTAATTTGTTGAAAGAAACTGGTAAAAGAATTTAATTCCTCTAAGTAAATTTTAAAAGCTTTTGAAGTTTGCCTTATTTCTTGGCCAAGATTTAGAAATGACTTTTTCTGATTTATGTTACTTTAAAGATATGCTCTTAAAAGCTATTCTTATCTTAACAAAATAAGAGCTTCAAGCAAAATGTTGCGTGCCAAGAGCAGTTTCCAGCCCATCCTCCAAAAAAGGCCAATATTAAAGTTTTTGGTATAGATTTATTCAAGTCTTTCATTTGCATTATTGGAAAGGAAAGTCCAGGTGGAGAAGGGCAACACTTCTTGCTGCACTCCAGTTCCAACAGGATGCATGGATTGGGTGGAACACTGGTGGTTCCTGAAGGGGCGCAGGGAGGCACAGGCAGTGGTGTCCTCCCAGTGCTGGGCACCACTCATCAAGGTGAGAATGGAGCAAAGCAGTGTCAAGCTTGGAGGAGCTCCAGGTTGGCAGCACTGACCCTGCAGATGCAGACATACCCGAAAGCTGTTGTCCTCCAACCTGCTTCATTCAAATCCCAATGAGCACAGTGCTGTCATCAGAACACCTAATGAGCCATTGGTGGGATGGAGTCCCTGTTCCAGCAATTGGTTTAGTGTGCAGCTAAACGCATTACTGTACAGTGGTACCTCAGGTTACAGACACTTCAGGTTACAGACTCTGCTAACCCAGAAACAGTACCTCAGGTTAAGAACTTTGCTTCAGGATGAGAACAGAAATCATGCAGCGGCGGCACAGCGGCAGCGGGAGGCCCCATTAGCTAAAGTGGTGCCTCAGGTTAAGACCAGTTTCAGGTTAAGAATGGACCTCCAGAATGAATTAAGTTCTTAACCCGAGGTACCACTGTATTAGGAATCCTGCCAGTTTTTGTTTTGTTTTTTTAAACTGAGCAAACAACAGGTGCAGAGAATCCCATTTTTTATTGGGAATTCAGGGTGTGCAAGTGTGCATTGCTAAAACCCTGATGATCAACCAGCAGCTACTAGCCCTGGATAAAAACTTTGTTCCCTAGGTTAATAGCAGGTTTTCCCTCCTTCCATCAGGATAACAGCATATAAGTGTGCTATGTGGCCCGTGTGCTTTTTATTTTATTTTAAAGGAACAGCAGATGTGGCCCCTAAAAACACATTTGGTATATAGTTTGGCTCTAAGATGAAAAATTCCAAGAGGCGGTTTACAAAAAAATCACTGAAAGCTGCTTCTCATGTTGTTGCTATTATGCACTCTGAGTATAATCCCACCATATTCTTTTATGAGACTGATAAGTGGCAATCATTCCCAACAGTCATTGCTTGGTAGCATCCAGGACCAGAGGATAAACTTCAGAGGCAGGCAAGACCTCCCATTGCCACATCAGTTTAACACAAACACTTAGCAGCAAAGATGAACTGCAGACCTTTGAATTTAAGTTATCCTGGCCTTTCCAAGTCAAGAGAAGTTTAATATTTTTTGTGAACTGCTAAGTAATGCCTCCCAGAAAACCACACACACTTCAACATAATAAGCAGCCTCTGCACAGCATCTTTTCTTTGAGACTGAATTACACACCTCACCCACCGGCAGGGTGGTCTATTCGCAAAAATGCTGAAGTCTTTTTGGCAGTGCAGCCACTGTGGTTGAATGCCTGGTGTGTAGATAAACATTAGGAATTCAACAGCAATTCAAACTCTGAATAGCCAGAAGCTGAAAATTTTGGCTGAAAAGTGAGCAAAGATAAACAAACAGTCTCCTTCTTTCCTACTATTTGCTGAACACATGTACAGCTCCTCCACCCATACCATTGTCCATGTCTCAATATGCAGCCATCCCAAGATATGCCTCATCTTGAGCATGACGTGGGATAGAAGCCTATTCAGTTGAGAAGAGCCATGTGATCAAGGCATAGCTGCAATTTACCCATACAGACTGAGACAAACTACTTATCTGTCTGTCATCACCCGAAAGCTATGCAAGTGATTAGAGGCATTTCAGGCCTGATTACAAGAGCTTTCACAGGTAGTCTTTTTTTATTTTTTTAAACAGGAGCTTATGATAGCCTTGCTGAATCACAACAAGGATCTATGGGAGCTTTAAGATTAACCTGGTACCCCCTCCAAATGTTTTGGACTACAAGTCCTGCCATTCCCAACAGTGGGCTGTGCTGATGAGATTTGCAGCACAAAACACCTGGAGGGCATCAGGTCAGGTAAGGGTGGGCTACAGGTAGCATGGTACCCTTCAGATGGCACCAATGGACTACAAATCCCATCAGAATAAGCAAGCATGGCTAAGGGTTAGGGCTGATGGAAGCCAGAGTCCAGCAGCATATGAAGTGCACCATGATGGATAATCCTACAGCAAAGCTGAGGTATCTTCTGGCCTGGGAATCAAATGCAGTCCTCCAGGTTTCTCTATCTGATCCTCAGAACTCTCCCAAGGCCACCTCCCACACTTCCCAGGCCATGTCATCCAATAGCTCTATTTCACATCTTCCTTGAGTGTTTTTGCCTGGCTGGAATGTATACCTGAACTCTGATAACGTCTCTTGCTTGCCTGGATGGAAGACAGAAACGGGTGTGTGGGTATATGTAGAAACTAGCTTACTGCACAGAGGTAAAATGTACATTTGTTGCCCTGCCCACCACTGGCATGTGGCCCCTGGAAAGTTGCCCAGAAGGGAATGTGGTTCTTGGGCGAAAAGAGATCCCGTCTCCCCCATCCCTGTCCTATCCTGTTTCCAAAAGCAGCCAGAGTCTTGAGATGCCCACAATCAGGGCAAAAAGCCAACAACCCTTTCCCTCCAAATTATAGTTCATGTAATCATAGCTAACAACCACTGATAAATCTGTCCTCTATGGAATTGTCTAATCCTTTTAAAATAAGGCTTTATGTGACCCCAGCAATAGCAGCTTTATAGACTGTGAGGTACAAGCAGTTCCTTCGGTCAAACCATTCACACAATATGTTTTGCACAGGTTGTTCTCACTCAAAGAGGATTAGCCCCAGCACAATTGCTGGACGAGTATGTGTCCCATATGGGTTCCTTCAAAGTCGTTGTGCTTAAAGGCTACTTTTATGTGAACCTGTGATGAAGGCTGACTACGGAACCACAGGTGCATGTAATCTTATATACCACAAAGCCTTACGAAGTCCAACCCTACATATGCTTATTAGGAAGCAAGTTCATATGTGTTCAATGGAACCTCCTCCCAAGTAAGCATACATAGGATTACTGTCTAAATCTGAGCACAAGGATCAAATGTTGGGGTTCTTATTCAAAGTCTGGATACCAAGTTATTTGGGAATCTAAGAATAAGGCGTGGGAAAAACCACTTAAGCCTAAGGCAATCCCCTTTGCAACCAATGCTGGTTTCTGTGTTCTCCAACTTGCACAACTGAGCATGACACTTAATTTAAAAAACAACAACCCAGAACAAAACCAAAACAAAGAACAAAACAAGAAGTGGAACTGAGCAGTCAGGCAGTCTGTTTAGGAAAGTGGATCCAGTCCTTTGAGATCCCCAATGGCAAAACACTTGACACTTATTAACCTAAAGATACTTAATTAAAAAGAAAGAGGCAAATGTTGCCTTTGATTTTTATGCCAAAGAAAGCATACTAAACAGCCATCTTAGCACCACTCTGACTAGCACATTATGCTGTTCAGCTAAAAGTTCAATACTGTCACCTTTGGCTTTGAAGTGTTACAGGCAGCTTTGTATTTTAAAAAAAAACCCCACAAGAAAACTTCAACATGGGCAAATAGGTACTGATAACAATAAACTTAACAGACCAGTAGGTCACTCATATGCATATTAACTAAGAGTAAATCCAACTGAGCTGAGATGTACACCTGAGCTTGCATAGGATTGCAACCATAGGCTTTTTTCCCCTCATACAATATCAAAATACAAGAACAAGTTTTCAAATATTTGAAAGTAAGATGAGAATAATGTTTGAGGAATTCTTGCTAAACTGGTTTGATATAATATAATTTTGTAAGCTTCTAAGGCTCTTTTTCCTGTTCTAGCAAAATCAATTTTGGAAGGCAAGTTAATGGAAACCAATAGAGTCTCACACTGAAAAATAACACAGTGTTAACAAAACACAGCTACTCTTTCAGCATAGGCCTTATATTTTGGTCTGTTTATAGACACATACCATCATACATGCATGACTTAAGTACCATGCTCACAGTAAAACTGTCTTCTTTAAAATTTAATTTGAATAATGTGCTGATATAAGCTGACAGATAGGCCTTGAGTTCATAATACAAATCCTGTTTAAGGTGTCTGAAAACTGAATCATAATGCTGACCAAGCATCTCTGAGGCCATAACCTGTAGCTTTATGCCAAAATATTTATGATACCCAACAAACTCCTGACAGATCTTACCTAACTTCTCTTTTTAAAACTTCTAGAAGGAGATTTGAAATCTCCCAAGGCAACTTTTCCTACTTGTTCATTTGCTCTTAACTCTGGGAAACCAATTCAAACTGCTGTGATGTCACAGAAGCCCAGAAGGGAAAGGTAGAAGGCAAAGAGCAGGAACACAGAAGACCAATGGAATGCAAGAAGCAGGAGACCAAGAATAGGGAAGTGGAAGAGACAGAATACTAAAGAAGTAAAATGTTCCAGCAGCTGCGAATCTGGCTGTCTAGCTGTTTCATACTGGACTGTAGCTGATGGTGGGAAGGAATACTAAGAGGCGCTTTTCTCATCTCTTGGTGACCAGTTGTTTTGTGGGGTGAGGTAAGAGTCTGAGAAGCTCACTACAGCATGCTTCTGTGTGCTGTTAGTGGAAAGGGTCAGAATAAGTAAGGATAACTAAGTTTTTATGAACAACAACAATCAATATTTTTATAGACTACATTTTACTCCTTCCTATTTGCTGCCAGGAAGGACTTGCTGCTGCAAGAATATAATGTGTGAAAAGGCCCAGTATCCACTTCCCAAAAGTCTGGTCCTATTCATATGCTCCTGGTCCTATTCATATGCCATTTTCCCATCACTGCAATCCAAACTTATGCCCCCAGAAATCTTCTTCACATTATTGTTGCCCTCCTCTTAGCCATACACCAAGAGGTAGGAGAACACTCAGCTCCTATGGCTGCCTCATTCACACACTCATTTGGAATTGCAGTGTGAGGAAGTGGGCTTCCATGCCACTATGTATGTGTATCAGTGTCGGTCCTGACAACAATTAGGCTGTCTTCAAATGTCTTCAATGTCTTGAATGCCTTCAAATATTGTTCTCAGATTCTAAGGTTCTGTTTACTCAGACACACATACACAGTTAAATTACTTCAGTAGCTAGCAACAAAGAAGGTTGGATATTCTCAGAGTGTTATACATTTGTCCAATGTAAAGTTGTGGTTTCACAATAAAACATTTGCATCAGCATTAGAAAAACAGAGACATTGCCAGTCATGTGTTTAGGAAGGAAAGGCCAATTTACAACCATCAAAATAATTACCCTTTCAAAACAAGTTGCTGCACGGGAATAGTTTGGCTTAGTTTCCTCTATACACAACAGGAGAAGAATCTCACCCTAATGTAACAATGATGGCGCTGTTAACATGATTTTAAGATGTTGCATGTAGCTTGGGGACTTTTTCCTTTACAGTTTAAGCAAGTCTGATTAGTACATGGATGACGGGACAATAAACTGGAATCATCTCGGAAAGGCAGAGTGGTATTCAATCTATCATGCAGGTGGTTACAGCTAGATATACATAGTTTGAGATATACTTCTCATCTATATTTTTCACTTGAGAAGTCTTGGTGACCTCAATGTTTTGGACTACATCTCTCATCAGCTAGCATGACCAGTGGTCAGGGATGATGGTAGTTGCCAAAACCTCTGGAGGACATAAAGCTAGTCACTTTATTGCAGAGAGCCCAATTTAGATCTGTAAGCTATGCTAGCCTGGCATTGGTGCAGCAAAATAGGTTGTGAAGCTGCCTGCTTTTTTGTAGGAACCAGCAGGGCTGAGAATGTGGTGAAGAATCTGCTGTTCCATGCCCTGAGTCCCAGCTAGGACTGTACTGATATTCTTGGATTTGCAACGGACACAGGAAATCATAGAGTGCAAGTCACTGAATCCTCCTCTGAAACTTACTACAAAAATCCTCCACACAACTACAACAAGACACTCAACCTTTTCTGCTGCAAGTTTGCCCAGTATTAGAACTAATTGAAATTTCCTAAGGACAAAACATTGGGGAGCACCCTTGGAACATCTGTTACCATTCGGGATGTATGGTGGTAATTTTACAAAGGCAGGATTTCAAACATCTCTATCATGTCTTGTTTAAAACCGATTTAGAGCCTGGCGGGGGGGGGGGGCAAAAGCTGGCAAGAGATCGAAGAGGAGTGCTAGCTTAAAATGTGAAAGAAAAGTCCCCACTAACATTTCATTACTGAGAAAAAGGTGTGAAAGCAGATGTAATTCCAGCAAGACAAAATACCACAGATTACTTAATTTGTTGTTTGTCTTATGTTACAGAAGAATACACAAAGGCTTTCCATTTTTCAATAAAGCCATGGTCTTTTCAAATTAAAATGTTAAGCATGGATTAAATACACTAAAGGTTAAATCACAGCCTGGAATGTTGTTTGCTTACTATTAAGTACAAAGTAAATATTATGGTGTAACTAAATGTTCCATAATTACTTCCTTCGTTTATTTAATTCCAATAAAGAACCTTAACCTGAAAGTCCTTTATCTGACGATTATTCTTTGTACCATTCCTTAATGGCTTAAATGCTGTTTTATGTTGCTTAGAAATTACCAACTATTCATATACAGTACTAATTTCTAGTAGCAGAAACACACTGATACACACAGGTGTAAGAGTCATGAATTAAAACACTACCTAGACATGGAGTTGCTTTTGCATAATTAAAACTGTTTTGTATTGTTTACAGATCTCAAGAAATAATTCCAGTCTTAAATCATGGCTGGTTAATATTATTATTAATTCTTATTATTTATTGGATTTATATACCGCCCTATACCCGGAGGTCTTAGGGCGGTTCACAGAATAAAATCAAAAAATAAAACCACAAAATACATAACCAAAATAAAAACAACAACCCAATGGTTCCTCCTCTTAGCGTTTTGTAGTTGCAGGAAGGCAGCACAAAGCAATCCAGGCTATTCTAGTGGGAGAGCTGACTTAATATGAAGGCTATGGAGGTTCTTATTTTTCCACGCCTCACTTTAACTTTTAAAAGCTGCTACCTTCCATCTTTCCCAGAGCCAGCAGCCTTTAAAAGATAAAAGAAAAGGGAAGAAGACTTCCCTATGCTGCCAAATGACACTGACAAAGCTATCCCAAATCACTGCATGCAAATGATAAGATGAGTTCTGTGTTTGTGGCCATTTCAGTCCACCTCAATGAGAAAACAACAATTCTGTTGCTGAGATTCAGGGGGGTCCAGGCATGTACCCAGGGTTTGTGTTTCCTTTTGGGAATGAGGCACAGAGGAAAACTGTGGTGTCTTTAGGATATATTTTTTATTTACACACCTATACAACCTGAAGGCTTCACAGCATTAACACCCCAAAAGGGTCTTGTTTCTCCCGTAAACACAGCCTTGGATTCAAGCAGAGATCCAGCATAGCTCTCTCTGTTTTTCTAGCCTGCCGCATTTGCATCCAACTTCTAGCTCACATAACTCCTAACTCTCACCTCTGGCTTTATTCCATCTTACTATCTGTGTGTTGAGGTAGAAGCCCCACCCATTTGTGTCTTCCACAGAGCCCCTTCCTTTGTTCTCCTTACACCTCACCAGGAGGCTATCCTGGTCTGATTAGCTTATAACGCTTGCTGGATTCAGAGATTAGAACTACAACACTCAGTTTAATACCCGAAGCCTTGATTAAATTCTAATGCTTGCTGGATCCAAAGATTAAAGGGTTACAGCACCCACATATTCAACAATACGCTTGTAACCCAGAGTGGAACTACTTTTTACATAGTGTAAAAGTTGGGATACTCCCTCTCCTCCATCATGCATATAATAATAATAATAATAATAATAATAATAATAATAATAATTTATTATATATACCCAGCCCATCTGGCTGAGTTTCCCCAGCCACTCTGGGCGGCTCCCAATCAAATATTAAAAACAATACAGCATTAAATATTAAAAACTTCCCTAAACAGGGCTGCCTTCAGATGTCTTTTAAAAATAGGATAGCTGCTTATTTCCTTGACATCTGATGGGAGGGCGTTCCACAGGGCAGGCGCCACTCCCGAGAAGGCCCTCTGTCTGGATGTTAAGGTCATATGAGTTGACCATGCCTGGTCAAATAAACTCACAACTTATGCAATTTCTCTTCTTCCAAAAAGGAGGTGGAGAACAAGGAAATAAATTATATGAATTGTCTCTCCATGAGATTAGAAGCATTACATTGACTCTGTGGTGAAGGAGATAGAGTGTTCTTGTGTTTCCAACACAAACAAAGAATCAGTATCCCAAGTAAGATGAATTGTAGAAAATTCAAACTTAACTACTGCTTGTCAGCTCTCCTTAGCCAGGTTATGCTGTCTCTGCAGCTTACTTCCATAGCAGTTCTGTGTTTGGGTTCAACAAAAATTGTTGATAAACACAGATGTTGTGGTGGGGTATTTATTTTCCAGCAGTGTGGTGCTATTAGCACTAGTGACACTCAAGCCGTCCTCAACATTTTCCTAACCATTAATATGATAAACCAGGTTTGATTACTTAGGAAGTGTTATGGGAAACACAAGTTGAAATAAACAGGATGCTCCATATCTCCTTGATCTCACTGAAAAACCACATTCTAAGACTGTAGGTGTGTGTTTCCCCTGCTATGTAAACTCCTACTTTTTTTGACAACTTCATTTCCTCCACTCTTCAGCAACCCAGACAGATAAGTATTTAATGTACAGCATGATTGTGATTAAATTTTCAAAGGCATTCTTCATCTGGATTGCAGCTGGTATAGCATCTCAATTACAGCTGCATCATACCACCAGGGGTCCATTATTGACATGTTGAGCCTTAGATGAAGGTGCTAGATTTAAACATTTTCAAAGATCTATCAAATCTGACCACAATCAGTTGTTTCCTCTTTTCCTAGTCTAGGCAAACCCTTAACTGGGAAGCTTATTTGGTACATTAAATAGTGCCTAGCTTCCATGCTTTATTTTCACATTAGGCTTTCCAGCATAAAAGTAAAGCAAGTTATAACCGCAAATGGGTTGATTTCTTAAATTGAAGCTGTATTCCCATTATGCATACTATTTGGTTTTCTGGCCAGCAGTGACCATCAAGCTTGGCAGGCCTTGGTCCAGAGTCCAGGGGCCCTGCAGAGGCTACCATCAATGCCCCAGCACTGACCTGGTCCCTCCTCAGTGCCTGACACCAGTTTACAGATGCCAGCCTCTTCCTTCCAACATACATTTGTTTATTCAAGGTGGCGACCAGTATGTGGTGAAATACGGTACTGAGGAAGACAACATATAGCACATAATTTCTATCTGAAGATGTTTTTAGGAGTACAGTGGTACCTCAGGTTACAGACACTTCAGGTTATAGACTCTACAAACCCGGAAGTAATACCTTGGGTTAAGAACTTTAACTCAGGATGAGAACAGAAATCGCGTGGCGGCAGTGGGAGGCCCCATTAGCTAAAGTGGTATCTCAGGTTATAAACAGTTTCAGGTTAAGAACGGACCTCCAGAACGAATTAAGTTCTTAACCCGAGGTACCACTGTAGTTCTTATCATGTCATACAGGTGGTGCAAAACTAACAACCACTTATTAAGATGAAAAACAATCACACTGAAAAACCTTTATTCCATTTTGATACTTTGCTGAATAAGTTTTTAAAATTCATGAATACAGTTTTGAGGGATTACATGGCCTTTGTCACAACCTGGAAACTATACTTGACATAAACCTTATGGATGCAGGTGGCAGGGTTCATGAGATAGTGAATATTTTGAAGAATGACTCTCACAGACTCAGGCCAAACTTTTCATTCCAAACATCTTCTGTTTCATTCGAATGCAACTTGCCATTGCCTATGCTGTGATAGGACTAATTAAAAGTACATATGATATTAGAGCAAATCTTCAACAACTACCCAGTACTACTAACAAGTTCCAACTGAACATTTTTGAATATTTTATGAGTAAACAGTATGAATGAGGAAAACATAAATGGATAAGTCCCAAAGACTGAAAGCAAGAGACCGAAGGGAATATCTCTCTCATTTATAGCAGTTCTTCTTTTCCACTCATTATCTCTCAAAATCCAAGCACACTCAAATATTTACTTTTCACATTTATTGAGAACTTTTTATCTTGCAAACCACCTTTTTAAAAAAATAATAATATCAAGACGAGTCTGTACTGCTCTGCACCATGAAACAGTTAGCATTCCATTAATACCTCAAGTGTTGAAGCAATCCCACCTGTTTATAATTTCCCATCAGTTTGCCTGATACATATCCAACTGTAGAAACTATATCAAAATGCGTAATATACGGAGACAGAAGGAAAGTGCCTAACAAGATGAAATTTTTCATAGAATAGAATGCTTCTGTATCATAGTGAAATATAAGGTATAATTAATTGTTCCAACTGTTATTTGACTTCCAGAATCAATTGGTCAATTGTTCAGTTCAGGCCACATCAAACCAAAGACGTTAAAACTGTGCTTGCCATGATAGCTGAATCAACAATAGTATAGCTGTGGGCATTACTCCACCTCCAGAAGCTGCTCCTCCACAGAGACAGGAGTAAACTGGTTAAGCAGCATGCTGAAATGAAAACAGCAAAGCACTTCTAAACCATGTTCTGCCTGTTTAAATTTTTAAGTTGACAATATCCCTTCCCATTCATAGTCAATCTGGGTTACATTGAAAATGGTCTCATTCTCCAGTGCACCTGCTCCTCCACCATCTCTGCCAGTTTCCTGAATTCCACAAGCAGAACTCCTTACCTTGGGAAAGGCAAGGGAGTGCTGGGTGGTGGAGGGTAGGGCAGTGAGTCAGGAGAAGCCCTTTCGGCATTCACTTCAGTAACACTGTCAGCAGCAAATGATAAACTTGTTTTACTACAAGTCCTATGACCCCGCAGGAAATGATGAACAGATTGTGTTAATAGCTGCAGAGGAGAGGTCTCTCCTGTCCTATGTCACTTTATTATCCTCCCCTTTCCAAAATAACTTTTTTTTAAACAAAGGGAGGAACTTGCAGGAAGGGCAGCAGAGAAAGCAGGCCAGGTTAGAGAAAATAGGGTTGTTCAAGCAGCCCAACTGATAATGAGGGTCTGGTAAGCAGGTGCTTGCCCATTCCAAATGATTTGGGTTCTAAATTATCATTATTTATTATTAGTGGAAACCCTGGTTGGGTCAGATGCCTAAACTAAGCCATATCTCAACTGTGTTAGGGTAGTATGATTACTGTGATATGAATGTTCACTACAAAGTACTACCTGCATTACTTCACCCACATTACATGTATTGAGTGCTGCACATGGATAAAATGCTTGCAGGCAAAAGGATGAAATTAGAGGCAACTGTCTACTTTGCTTAACTGTTGGCTGAATTGCTATGATGCCACAGAAATCTGAAGGGACCAGTGGGAATGCAGAAGATAATGGACTGGAAGGGAGTGTATTAAAAGAGGAGTGGGTTGGTCTGTACATATTGTGTTGCAGGACAAGAGAAAGATAAAGCAATAGACCAGAAACAGGGGTGTGGGGAGCAGACAAAAACGTGCGTCTAGAAGAGCAGTGGAGAAAGTATATGGCCTGAGGGAAATAAGGTGAAGAGCAAAGTGAAAATTGCAGGTGGAAAGAACCTGAAGCTGGAGGCAGCCTTACACAGGGTCAAAAGAAGCCAAAGAGGCTTGCCTGGAGCCTTCATTATGTATCTTTAGGTGCCAGGCGAAAACATCTCTCTTCAATCAGGCATTTAGCTGATTAACATCCTATAGCCTTTAAATATGTTTGTAGGAGGGAGGTTATTGGTTTCTTTTGCTTTTGCTTTGTTTACTTATGTATTTTGTGTTTTCATTTTGTATTTTTATGTTGTGAACTGCCTTGTGATCTTTGGATGAATCAGTAAATCCCCTTTAGTGGATGTTTTATTTAAGATACGTGTACTGAATTTTGCAAGAATTTGAGAGATTTGGATTTTCGGGGGTGGGGGTGGGGATGTAGTACTTTAACCTCAAAATTCCCAGTTATTTTTTCAAAGACGATTTGGGGGAAAGAAACATATCCCTGATGAAGATTACTCACACACACTCTTACAACATATATTATGTACTTTAGTTTCAAATGTGTCTGCAGGCCAAGAGGGAAAAGGACTGAATGATATATGAAGAACAACACATTACTTGCTGCTAC